TAATAACTAAATTACAATAACTTTAATTTTCTCTTGATCGATGTTAATTAAATAATCATAACCATTTATAAACTCTCATAATTAGTGGGTATTTTAACTTATTAGGCCTTGGGTGAGGCTTTTGGATTCCAATATGATTAGCTTTAAATTTTTATTTATTCATTAAGACATTTGTAAAAATTTCATTACAAACACCAACACTTTTTTCGGATGGCATCCCTTTAATCCAAAAATAAAAAATACACATAGAAAGAAAATATTTGCTTGCAAATTTGAATTTTGAAGTAATTATTGCTCTCCTATTTCACTAGATTCAATTAGACGTAAGTTCTAAACCGTACATCCCCAATCTCGTTCTAGGATTTTAAACTATTTCCCGAAACAAAATGACTCAGCTTTGAAATACAAGATTTTAAATTAAAACTCCAAAGCATTTCGTGTTGACAACAAACGAAATAGGAAATCTCTCAGCGCTCCGCCAAGGGTCTTTAAGCATGGATTATATATGGTTACTTCCTTCCAAATGTCAAAGCTTCCTCTTAGCAAGTCAACGGGTTTTAATTATGGAAATAGAATTTTGTGAAACGCAGCATCTCCCTTCAAAATCCCAGATAAGGAAAAGTTCTGCCAATTTGAAGTGGACCACGCTATGGCCACTGTCAACTATATCATTTTTCTCACACGCAAGTGTTGGCAAACATCAAATTATATATCAAGCTGCGTGACTTCTGCGTGGCTTACAGCTCTCTTGGACACTTCAACGGCATCAGACTGAAAGATGGTTTACAGAACAAACGAAACGTCAAATGAATTTAGACACCCATTTTGGGACTCGTTGGAATATAGTTAGTTTCTTAAATAAATAAATTAATCAAAAAGTTTTAAAACCAATTTAAACTTACAAAAGAGTTAAGAGTTAACTTACAAGATTCAATAGTGCTGAATAAGATTATGTCTTAGTCGACAATCTTTGGAACTTGTTTTACATTTGATACGCAAACTTAATTGAATGCACCCATCAATTTCGGGGTTCATTGGAATTAATGGCTGGCCAACATTGGTTCTGTTTGGTAATTTCAGATGAATATATTAAATTTCTAAAAGTTTCAAATCCAATTTGAAAACTGGAACTTTATTTCGTTAGTATACTAGATAGAACCTTCGACAATTTCTGATGTCTCCATTAATTTCGTTCTTTTTTTATTATTTATTTTTTAGCGCTTGATACACAGATTTAATTGAATATAGACACCCATTTTGTGACTTTTTGAATTGATGTTAGCTGTCATGTTTGATTTCACATGCTTCTACCAAACCAAATTACAAGAAAGGAATTGAGTAATACTAGAAAATGACATTTTTTTAAGTGTCCCTCTCTTACGTGCCAGTTAGTATCGTATTGCTCTTTGTTACATGCTTATTGGTTTACACTTGATATGAAGACTCAATTAAACTCAAAACAGACAAATTTAAAATTAGTGCATATTATTTCTAACTCCAACCAAGTGCAAATAAAATCTTTATTTCAATTTGTGTCGGGTTATTTTATTGATTTAACATATTATGGTTTGTTTTGAAAGTTTGAATTTCTTTCTCAGTTCAGTCTCTGTTTCTATTTTTATTTAATCAATACAAGCATGCAGCAAATTTCTATTTTCTACGATAGATGAAATGAAATAATTCCTTCCATTTTCTACAGAGAAAAGTCAAGAAATCTTTCCTTTTTTTTGGCAATAATTCGATCTACATAAAGTTCGTCACTCGATACTTATTTATAGCTGTAATATTTTATTTATTACTCAAAGTGACAATTTAAGCCCACCTTTCTCTATACATTCATAATAATATTTCCCAAAATATCAATAACCTATAGAACTCTTTCATATTCTACTGCGGTTCTGTTTTCAAACCATTTAGCGATCGCCAGTTTTCGCGTTCTAAAACGATGTGTGTTTACAGTCGCTTCCAAACCAAACGATTCAACCATTTCTCAGTGGGACATATTTATGTCTTCCTTTTTAGTACTTTCCTCACCATCTCGGATCTATATCTTAGCTTACCGGACTATTGTTCCTATTCTTTGGCATTCTCAAAAAATAGAAGAAAAAAATAAAACTTTTTTTCTTTCTTCTTTTCTTGACATTATTTCTTTTGGCAGGCTATAGCGGAAGTCCAGAGTCGTTGGGGGAACGTCTATTGGTGGGTCCAGAGGCTATAAAATAGACGTACCCTTTGATTTACAGGCACGAGGGATTCTTTTTTATGTCGAATCCATGACACCCATCACGGCTCGCCCCTGTATTTTCCCGATCCTTTTCTTTTTCTTTTTTTTCTTTTCACTGTGTTTGTAGAATATACCTCAGAAATTTTTTTTATCCGAAAAACTGCATAGGATTTTAAACAATCTTATGTAAGAAAAAGCTGGATTATTCAAGATAATAAACACAAGATGTGAGGAGATTTTTTTCTCATGAATTTGGGCACACAGCTTAGTAGGTCACTAAAAGTTTTGCCTTTTTTTTAATTCTCAAAAGCAGATATACCTCAAAATTCTAAACGGAAAAACTGTGTAAGATTTTAAACAATCTTATGTAAGAATAAACAGGATTATATTCAGGACAATAAACACAGAATGGAGACTTCATCATGATTTTGGGCACACAGCTCAGTAGGTCATTAAAGTTTTAATTCTTTTTTAATTCTCAAAAACAGAGTGGGACTTATGATATTATTATATGATGAAATATTAATATTTTTATTCATCCTTATAACGATGTCTTAAAAAGTATTTTCACCATGCGTCGTAAATACCAAATCTTGGTATAAATATCTAACGAAAGATGGATATTGATAGTAATGCATCTTTTGCTGATAAAAATATTTATCAAATACGATATTTAATGACAAAAATATCACACTGTTAGAATTTTCATTCAAAAATTATGGTAAAATAACCAGCAGCGCACTGTCCATTGGATTAACCGTAGAGTTAACGATAAAGAATATTTTTTATCTTTACGGTTTTGAAACCGTTTATAACTAGTATGGTTATAAAGCCAAACCACGAATACAAAAGTATACAGGTTTTTTTTAACGTAACTTGCATGGTCTCAAAACCGTAAAAATGAAATTTAACTAGACATAGGAGCTAGGATTTTCATCAGTTAATCAGATGGAGAGTGCAAAAGACTAAAAACTTTTCATTTGAAGGGAATGGAAGAAATATTGTGGTGTCAACGTTAGGACTCGAACCCCAGTTCTGTCGGTCATGTGACTGGCAGATTGGGATTGACGGCTATAATATGTACGCAGTTTCAAGGAACTAAGTGGTTTATTTGGTGGGTCGCACTATTAAAAATAAATTAACAGATAAAACAAAATAAATATAAAAAAAATTAAAAATTAGTTTGATCAGTTGATGTTAAACGCCAAAAAGTGCGATAACAATTTCCTCATTTAGAAGAATTGCTTTTCTCAGAGGAAGGAAAGGGGAAGCATATTACTCTCATTGTACAATCGCCAAAACACTCAAAATTTGAACAAAACACGATTGTTTTTATTAGCACTGTATTCACCTGCTATGGTGTTTTTGCTTTGACTTGATAAAAAATACCAGAGTAAGATGATTGACTAAGATTTTATGATGGTAACAAAAGTGTAAAAAGTAATCTGTAAAGTAATTTAGTGTATTTACAGCGTGCACTTTAATGTTCTGTAAACTTACACCGGTTGGTGGAAAAAGTACTCAGGAAAAAAAGCATGGTAGGGAAAAGTATATACATATAGTATAAGAAGTATATATATATATATATATCATAATAAATAAATAAAAACAAAAAAAAACAATAAGTTTTATAAAGAGTTGCAAGTAAATAGAACTCATAAAATAAGTTCAAAATGTAGAGAAAACAAGGGAAAAATTACAGAACAATGAAAAAAGGGAAAAATAATAATAAAAATAACAAAAAACCGGAAAAAATTTCAAAAAATCCGGAAAATAAAAGATATAATCTTCTCATCAGCTCACACAGCTTTTATTTTCCGGATTTTTTAAAAATTTTTGTCCTTTTTTCCGGTTAAAAAATTTTAAAAAATCCGGAAAGTAAAAGATATGATCTTCTTATCAGCTCACACAGCTTTTATTTTCCGGATTTTTTAAAAATTTTTGTCCCTTTTTCCGGTTTTTTGTTATTTTCATTATTATTTTTCTTTTTTTCCCCTTTTTTCATTGTTCTGTAATTTTTTCCTTGTTTTCTCTACATTTTGAACTATATATATATACATATATACTAGCTTACCCGGCAAACGTTGTTTTGCCATATGAATTATTTCTAGAGTATGAAAATATATCTTACTAGTGGGCTGTGACCCCTGCTGCTCGCTAACGCTCGCCAACNAAAAAAAAAAAAAAAAAAAAAAAAAAAAAAAAAAAAAAAAAAAAAAAAAAAATCGTACACAAGTGGGGGTGGTTTTACTGTCCATTTTCGAAAACATAACTGTTTTCAGTACTAAAACGGGAGGAAAAACCTTTTTAAGAAGGTTACCCAATTTGGGCTTCAAGTACCGACCATAAAAGTGTCCGACAGGCACTAAAAATGGACACTTTTGAAGTTCTAACTCTGAGGTGACGGGCATAAATTTATGAATAAAGGAACGAAGTTGTTATGGCCCTTTTTTGTGATTTTACAATGGAATTAAATGGAAGTGTAGTTTATAAAATATTGACATGTTTTCATTTTAAATAAAAGGCTAAGTAAATAAAAAAATAAAAATTTTAGTTTCTTTAAAAAAAAAAACTTGCTATTTTACAGTTTTATTTTTCTAACTACGTATATTTTATATTCGAAATGGTAATTTTAAGTAGCAAACTTGTTTTCAAAATCTGCACAATTAACTAATTATTATCTGATTATTTTTTCTCTGTTTATTTCTTTGTATTGTTTTATTGATTGTGTATATGAATTGTGTGTGTTATGATGGCCCATACTAATTGTGAGTAGTCTTTTATACCCTACCAGAGACCACCTTCACAATCTCTAAACTCCTATAGTACCGGACCTGATGATGCTAGATCACCCGCCGGATCTACAGGAACTCCAGGCCCTATTTCACAACAACCTAGTTCACAACTTAGTACTGATAACAACAGTGAAGCAGGTAAGATCATTTTTATCTATATATTTTTGCACACTTTCAAAAGTACTTGTTTTTCATGGAATAATTAATTAGTGTAATTCTTAATCCAAATCAATTTAGAGCTTGTCAGCAGGGAGAATTTACTAAACTTAATGTTATTGAAGCATAATGCACGAAACGATAAGTTGCTAACGTAGATTGAAGCATTACGCACTAAGCCATAAGTCGCTTATGTAATACGACCAAAATATATTGAAATTAATCATTCATGAGCTACCAACATAATTTAATTGCAGCATAATGCGCAAATCAGAAGTTGCTCAAGTAATGCGACTAAAGCTGAATTCTTAAAATCATAAGAAAATGAAGTATAAACTCATTGATCTTGCGATTGAAGCATAGTGGACAAAATCATAAATTGCTGATATAATGCGATTAAAACATAATGTATAAAATTATAAGTTGCTTATACGATTAGATATAAAATATAAAAACAGGTAAAAATCAAAAGAAAACTATAAAACATAAAAACGGGTAAAAATCAAAGGTAAACTTATATTACCACTGTCTCTTTATAAGCGCTATTTTATTTCAATCAACGACAAAGTTTAGTGTATTCTACAGTATATTACCATTTTCCGATTTAAAAGACAATTCATGGTTTAAACTAAAATCTTTCAAATGATCCCTTTTTTAAGATTGTTGAATTATCAATTTATTAATTAAATTGATTTATTAAAGATGTATTTTGCAAAATATAATATATAGTATAATATTCATTCCTAATCCATAAGCCATTTCCCCACTTTAACGTTTCTATTAAAGTAAACCGTTAAAGGTCTATGAATAAAAAGGCTTTATCACTGATTGCTTACCTAAAACTTCTTCATTTAAACATGTTTATTCTTAAGACTTAGAAAAAAAAATAAAAAACTCTAAAATTCCCTCTGGGTCAACTTATGATTCATTTTGTTCGATGAATGCATGACTTTGATTCTATTAAACTACTTTCCCTTTCAATTCGCAACTCAGTTATTCTTTCATAAGTTTCCTCACATTCGAACATTATTTCCGATGAATAATGTTTATTTACGATTGAGAAACTTGTTTTTTTTAGTTTTCGGTTTTTTTTTTTCATTCAAGGGACAGAATTATTTATCACACAAGAGAAATAATCCCTCCATTACAAACGGACAACAAAACACTATCCTTAGATATGGTCTCACGCCACGCTCTTCACTCAAAATACTTTTTGTCCAGATCTAAACCCACTTCTCACCAATAATCCTCAACATTTCCAACAATAAGTTCTCTTTTAGTTCCTTCAGCTATGTTGAAGGGGATTGAAGGGGGGCAAAGAGCGAGAGAAGGACAAGGACTTGACAACTACAATCTTCTTGTCAGATCAGGAACTTGGAAACGTTCATTAGGGACCACGGCTCTTCGACGCCCCGGATTAGAAACCAGGGCTTGTTCGGGTCAAGCTGGTCACAAGGGTTTCCTTCGAGCAATAGGTGCATTTGGCGATCGCCAAAATACGCTTATTTCTTTGAATGATATGATCTGCCAGCCGCTGATTTAAAATCGAACATAATTAGGAATTGTACAGAATTTTTCAACGAACTGCTGAATTTTACCAGCTGGTTTTTGCCTGCTTCTAGATTTAATCAAAACATTTTTTATTACTTTTAAAGCAATTCTCTAAATTTGGGAAAGTTTCAGATAAATCCCTTTCAAAATTGATACTTAAGGTACACCAAATGCCTTCAGAAGCAAAATTTTCAAATTTTTAATTCAGAAACTTTTTATTTAGATTTATGTATGTATTATACTCTGAAATATAATATAAAGTGGAACCTGTCTAAATTGACCACCTTCGGGACCAAGTCAAGTGGTCACTATATAGAGGTGTTCACTTTATGCAGACTCTTTATAAAGGGCTCTTTAAATAAAACTTGTAGAAAATGGTCACTTTACTCAGATGTTCACTTTACCCAGGTGGTCACTTTTACAGGTTTCACTCAAAAAAAACAAAAACAAAAAACAAATAGAAATAATAAGAAAGAAATTTCTTTTTTAAAAAGTATGGGAGAAAACCAGTCAAAAAAGACAAAAAAATTGTCATTTTTCCAAAACCACATAACTTCGTTAAAATTCATTATTTTTTCATTATTCTTGTTCAATGCTTTTAAAAATTACACTTAGGGAATAGACTAATCATTAGGCATACTATCAATGTTTAGATATTTTGCAGCAATAGAAAATTATTTTGAAAAAAAGGTCAAGAAGTGTGATAAATTATTTTCACATTAGCTGTAAAATATGAAATAATATTTAAACCACTAGTATGCGGCTTAATCCCTAGACAAATGTAAAGAATAAAAAATACATTCTTACATTCAAAAATAGAATACATTCTTACAAAATTTCAAATATTTTGAACTAAAATATTCTAAGGTATACTTTAGAATAAAGGAGAATAACCGAAAAAACTATTTTTTGAGAAAAATGTTGAAAATGACACAGTTTTCAATTCAATAACTAATATCGATGTGTTTCTTTTTTTTTTCTTCTTCTTTTTTTTTAATCACCATAACTTCTGTTCTATTTCACGTAGAACCAAAACTCAAACTGTTTTTGTAAGAGTTATTGAGTTCGACGTCATAGTTCGAGCTCCAAAGTTCTGTTTTATGCGAAACACGGGAAAATGATATTTTGGTCAAAATCGATTTAAAAAAAGTAGTCGGGTACTTTAACATATGTAATTGTTTAATCGTAAAGATAATTCGAATAAAAGATACAACTAACAAATGAGGAATGAATGCTTAGAGTGGAAAGTAAATTAAATACAGAATACATAAAAATGTCTAAATTAAAATTGAACCAAAACTTTTTCTTTATAATAATGGTTGGTTTTTTTTTTTTTTTCAAATAATTTGGCGTTTTAAAATGCCCCCTCAAATGTTTTAATTAAAAAAAAATTATCATTTAAATTTAAATATTTAATCACAACTTCAACTCTAATAACTAATTCAAAATATAATATTTAATTTTATCGATTATAAAGTATTATGTAAATGTAAAGCACTCCTGCAGCAACTAAAGAGGCAAGAGGGGAGCAATTTGGTTAGCATTGAGCACCAGCTGCCTTTACTTCTAAGACAAACTGGCACCCGTCTATCCGAGACTGGGTTGCTAGCCGTCATTGTGTTTACAGTGACAGCCCATCTCTGTGATATCTCTGTTACCACTGTAGTCACGAAATTGTTGTATGTCATGGTTTATTTAAGTTTCACTTTTATATGGAATTAAAATATTTTAATTGTATTTTTTATTCATTTTTTTTCAGTCAGTAAAAACTATTTGCTACACTGTAAAAAAAATTCTGGTGTACAGTTGCCACTATTTTTGGCGTTCAAATAAACTAGTATTTTTTTTTACAGTGCTAGTAATTACATTTTTTTGTTTGTTTGTTTACTTTTCCATTGCTATAATCTTAAAGCGAAAATTTTTCGTTCAAAAAACAAGAACATTTTTAGTAATTTGTTCTGACTAATTCTTTCAAACAATTGCTATTTCGTAAACATTTTGCATGATAACTACAGTTCTCTACTTAAAAATATATTTTACCTCAACAGAAAAATTAGTGGCAATTAGACACCAGAATTTTTTTTACAGTTTTTTTAATTTATTTTTTTAAATTTTCTTTATCTCTTTTCGTGTAAAATAATAAGAAATTGTTCAAAAGTTAACCTTCCGTTTGCTAACCTAACCTTGAGCAAATCTCTAAATGGTAAATTAATATTTATGGCGAAAAAATTAATCCTCATAGACTAAATATAAATTTATAACGTTGGGAAATACAAGTTCCGGGTATGCCAAAAACTTGCTGACATTAACTCTCTTAATCAGAGAAACGAATTGACAAGAAATTGCTTCATTTTATTTTTAAATGTGTTTTATCAGTTGAATGACTTAACAAACAGGCGTTCCTATCTTCTTCTCTTCATTTATTTTTGGCTACCGTCCTAATTGAATGGAGCTATAAAATGATGCCAGAATTGTGTTGCTCATTAGCCAAATGTGGCGCTTCGCCTCAGACAGCAAGTGTCTCATTAGCTCCAGTAGTTGCTTGTTAACAAAAGGGTTACTGTTGTTAATATGGGGTCTACGTTTAATACAATGTCAGAGGATGTTTTTGATTGGTTTGACGCCTTTTTCACGCGCCCTTATGTTTCTAATCTTATGAATAATTATTTCTGAGTTTTATTTGATGAGCACACAAAAATGATTCATTAAATAGTGTTTTCGTTTCTGAATTTATTTTATCAAATTGATTTGAAATCGAAATTAAAGTCCATCTTTTTAAAAATAAAAATAAATCATTTAAAATGTTCGAATGCTTACAGAGTTAAAATTTTTAATTTAGATTTTCATGTAATTCATGAAATTTAGATTTTCATGTAATTCATGAAATTTAGATTTTCATGTAATTCATGTAATTTAGATTTTCATGTTTTTAATTTTCATGTAGATGTGTGTGTATTATATTCTAAGACATGGTATAAATATGGTGTAACACTGGTAATAAAAAAAAGGCCGAAAGTTGACCTTTTTTAAAATCACATAACTTGGTAAAATTTATTATTTTTTCCTTAGTCTTGTTTTAAAAATTGAACTCATAAAATATGAACTTATGGAATAGACTAAGCATTAGACATAATGCTAAAAGTCAGATATTTTACAGCAAATGTAGAAATTTATTTGACAAAAAAGGCCCAAATTAATTATTTTGCTTTAACTGTAAAATATAAAATAATAGTTTAATCCACTAATCTGTAGTCTATTCCTTTGACATATATATAGAAAATATTCATTTCAAGTAATTGGAACTAAAACATTTTGAAATATTGTATTTAGAAATAACCAAAAAATTAGTTTTGAGGAAAAAAAAAACAATTATTAATTTACTAACTATTGCAGATTTTTTTGAAAATAATCATCATAACTTCTGCCTATCA